AGGAGGACACACAAGGGTACTGGTGGTGTAGAGAGTCAAATCATACAGGCTTTTAATGAGGAAGTAATTATATGGAGGATTTGTTTTTTTCAGAGTGCTTTATAAACACTAATTATGATTTGTTCCTAAATTTTCCAGGTGAATAAACAGAACTGGGAACAGATTAGAGAGCTTGCTAACCTCTGTGAATGAGTGAGCAACAAGCTTAGCAGCAGGTCTTTTGAATTTTTATTGATTATTGCCCTGCTTAAAACCTTACTCAGTGTGGAGAACACTGAATACCTATTAGGCAAAGGAAAGTTGCTTTAAAAAATTTATTGGAAAGGTACTGACCAGTTTAGATAAGGATGCAAGCCTTCTGTACCTTTAGTTTTTATTTTAAATTGCCCCTTCCCTCTCAAGAAGCAGAAATGAAGTTAGATTCCATTTCATTGGAAAAGAGAAGACCTCTTTGATATGTTTACATGCCATTAGTCACTGCATCTGGGAGGTAAGTTGCCCTTGGCTTTCTGCATCTGTCCCCAGTGTGAGCAGATAAAGACAACTCCTTTCCCAGTGCCAGGATTCCACAAGCACAAGGGCCAGCCCTCCACTTCTCTTACATTTCTCCCTTCCCTGCAATCTCTTCAAAAGATCCTGTGCGCTAGAAGAGCCAAGTTAATTATTTTAAAGGTTCCAATAGTTTATTTTTCAGAAAGATTCTCAGACGTATGAATCACCAGGAATAACCGTAGTTCAGGAAAAACTTCTGGGAGTTGGATGTAACTGCTAACACTTGGTCAGAATCAATTATATGGGACCTGGAGGCAAAGGGAAGGGGAAAAGCACAGCTTTGCAGTGCCCTTTGAGCACACAGGGAAGCCAAGGAGGCATTTTAGCTCAGCTTAGTGACAAAAAACCAACCCAAACACAAAGCAACCAAGGTCTAAGTCTTTGACCCTGATTTCAATATCTTTGTGTTAAAACAGAATTGACATGCACTTATGCTGAACCTTTCTTTGAACAAGTGTTTTGCTGAAAGGGGAAAAAGTTTGGTTATTTTGTTGCACTTTTCCTTTTCTACTTTTGAGTCATTTCTCAAGATTTTATAGTGGTACAAGCTAAGCTTTTATCTTTAGTTATACAAACTTTATGGTTCTAATAAAAGTTCAAGCAACAAAGGGTAGTTTCAATATTGAATAAAACCAGCAAAACTAGAACACAGAATATCTGTGGCACCAAAATATGTTTCTGCACAGAACAGAGTATTCACAGGATCTGTCGTAACACTATATGGAATCAATTTCTGCCTGGCAAGGAAAATAAAAGTATAACATTTCTTGTGCTAAGATTTTTCCATATTCACTCCAATAGTGTGTGTCATTAGGTACATCTGTGACAAAAACATCACTTACAGCAGGCTAGGAAAGAGAAACCTTGGCTCACTTACCCTATTACTTCATCTCTAGGGTTTGCCCTGCTGCACTTTTCCAGTAACATGATATTTGGATAGATTCTGCGTTGTCTTATATAAAAGAAGTTACTATAACAGCCATCTCCCTGCACTGCATGACTTATCTGTAATTGTTTCATTTGGCTTACAAAGTTATATCCAGTAATTTTATAATAATGTAAAGATTAGTCCATGTAAAATTGGTCATACTTGTTTATATATCTGATTAATTAGCAATTTCTCTTTGTTTAGGCTTTAAACTGTAATCCAGTGGATAGAAGATTCTGCATTGGGAGTTGTCATTTGTGGTTTTATGGTAAATTATAAATTACCTCCTAGTGTGACTATATATTTTCACTTATAATTGTTTATGAAAAATCCAATTGCAATTAAAGTGTTTTTAAACATTTCCACTGCTATAATGTTATTTCACAGTCATGTCAATCTTAAGGTTTTAAAAGCAAATATAAGTCAATTTTGTGTATTTCAAAAATTACGGAACAGATTTGACCTTAAAACACCCCACCCATTTTAATGTTTTCTCCCAAAGACTCAGCAGCAGCCAGTACCATACTTTGCTGAAATACGTTATATATTTATGAGTCATTTGCTTTGTATTTAAGTCAGTAAGGAGGAAAAGCAGAATTAAATTTGAGAGAGGGACTAGTTCTCCAAGCATTTTTTAAGAATACCTTTTAGATCTCACCCTCAATAGAACTCATCTATGACTCTTTAGTGAGAGAAGGAACTTGTGACAAGAGTAGGATTTAAACAATTTAGTACTTCCTGTGGTAGATTTTAAGTAACTCCATGGACAGGATGCTGATGTGAGTCCTGTACTTACAAGCCTTGGTTAATCTTGATTTGTATTTCAGAATTCTGTTACACTTACTGTGCAATGGAGTAGCAAACACCAAGGTGTGCAGGACCCTCTGCTGCAGGGAGGTCAGGCTTTTGCAGTAGTCATTACTCAGGTTTGGGTGGAAAGAGTTGAACTGCCTGTAAATAGCAGACCTCTGTACTGATAAGGTGTGGAGGTCATTTTAGATTATTTCACATATAGTAAGTTGGCTGTCTTTCTTTCCCCCCATTGCTTGTATTTGTTTATACTCTGCAGTGATAGCTGAACTTTTTTTCTCTGAGAATTCATACCGTAGGAAATAAATTTCTTGTCATGCAGATTGCCTTAGGTTCAAATGCAACCTCACAGTTCCAGACATCACTTTTCAGCTGACACCAAGGCTTACTGCAGTAAGCTAACAAGAAATTCATAATAATATAATGTTGTAAGGGCTTGCTCCAATAAATCAGACTCTGAAACTTGGTTGCCTCTCATTTATGTAGGCCATGATGGCAGACAATGCATTTGCAATTCCTATTTGGAAAAAAGGTCTCATTTAACCTTTAGCCTACTGGCCTTGGAAAAGGGTGAAATGAGACTTTTTTATTCCATATGCCTGTATAACTTCCTATCAGAATGAAAGAGCAAAAAAAAATATATATATTTTTAGTCCAATTTCTACAATAATAGATAACAACATCAGGACATTCTAAGGAAAAGGCCAGTACTAAACGACAGTAGAAATCTAAGAGAATTAAATTAATTATTCTGTAGTAGGCCGTTGAATTTCTAAGCTTATCCTACTGCAAAGTAACTGTCCATAACTGCATTATATTATATTAAAGAGCAGAATTGATCTACCCACTCTTCCTTCTTCAAAAGTGCAAATGCTGAGGTGTCATCTATAGAAGGAACTTTAGAGCTTTGCTACTAAGCACCTGATCTTTAGGATGTCACGGTCAAAATTTATCATCTTTAAAACCTTGCTGTTTCCTGATAACTATTATTTCCACTGAAATTTCCACTCTGGAGCTGCTCCCCCAGAAAGAAACACTTGGAAGAAATGGGAGTGCATTTATTGTCTCTGGTCCTACCGAGAGTTCTGCTGATATTATTGAAGATCTTCTGTGCAAGTACACACTGCCAATACCAGTGTTTATGGAATTCACTGTTTCTTATGCCAGAAATGATGACAAAATTCAAGGTGAGTTCAATTTTCACAAACTGCATCTTTTTACCCATTCCTATGGGTACATCTAAGCTGGCCCTCTAGTCCTTTCAAAAACCCCATGATATTCCAAGATCTCTCAAAGTAACAGAAGAAAACTTGAAAAAATGTTGTAGCATTTGTGCACAGGCAGGTCTGATAAATTCATTGTCCTGAACAGTCCATTTCAGAGCTCACAGGAGGATACAAGTGCAATACCAGTCTCATAGCAGTCTATGGGAAATATTTGTTACTGCTGAGCCCTGCATATGTTGCATGCATTTCAAGTCTTACCAAGGATCTGGTTCCCATGACTTGAATTCTGGATTTAAGAGGCAATGGGACATATGGTTTTTAATATCTCCCCAACAGTCTATGATTTCCATGAGTTCAGTATACTTGTCACTTTTAATCCAGGTTTTAAGAAGAAAATTAAATTTCATGGTAAAAAAAATAAATTATGGAATGCTTGAATGTTTTAACTTGGAAAGGAATTTGCAAAAATAGTTTCCATTCTTCCAAATTTTAAAGGAAAAAAGTATCATAGAGGAGAAATTGGAGAGATGAAAAGCCAGCATGTACCTCTGCATGGATTGTCCAGCCCCAAGCACCTATTCAGTGATTTATGTAATAGTGAGGCTTGTGGAAATCATTCTCCTCAGGCAGCAGCAGAACCACAGCTGCCAAAATTTGCTGTAATTAATACCACGTTTGTGCCCAAATTTCTGTCTTTCAACCCTGTGTAACCCCACTGTAGTGAGGAGCAGAGTAGAGCATATCGTTCTGCAGTAAATAGGAAACATGATCTAGACTTATTCTTCCCTAAAGATGATCCACTGGTGTCTGCCAGTCAGCTGGAAGGTAACTTGCAGTGTGTTCTGCCTCTCCCCATGCCACGTACTGAGCAACTCTTAATTCCAGAGCCCAAGTTAGTTTGCGTGTGTAATTTGTTCTTGGTTTTCTGCCTGTTTATGTTGCTATGAATCTCAAACTACCCATTAAGCCATGATAACAGAAACAAGAAAATCCTCCCCCTGTCTCTTGCCTCTCTCTGTGCCTCTCCCACAACTGCCAGAGGAAGGACAGTGAAGTAAATAGAGGGCTAGACAAGCCATCTCTGCTATTAATAATAACACTGAGGACTGGGAAAAATAGCTGCTCTAGAAACTTCTGGCTGCTGGATTAAGCCAATATGTGCTTCCTCTATCCACATTCATGTAAAATGCTGCTTCTCAGAGATGTTGTCATCTCAGAGCTTGGAGGGGTCCAATTACACAAAAATGTTCTGAAAGTTTTTCTGTCTTCTTTTGCTATAACATTTATTTATCCTCCGTTTGTTGAAAGGATACTTGGGGCCAGGTTTATCATATGTGCAACAACCATCCCCAGCTGTGTCATTAGTGCTGGAGTACTGGGGAGGAGGGAGTTAAGAGGTGAGATCAAAGCAGCTGGGATCTATCAAGCAATCAGGGCCCACTGCCAAAGGAAGAGAAGGAACTGGGGCTTTGATCCCAGGAAGAGAGGGCTGGGGGTCAGGAAGAATGAAGTAAGGCTGAATCTGTTGCTTTTGGCCCTGGTTTTGGGCAGGCTCCTCGCCCTTAGAGGTAATGTTTCTCTTGTAATTAATTTTATGACTTCCTATGTGTTTTTGTTGTGGTCTTGATTCAAATGTACCTGTGTGACAGTAGAGATGATAATTGCTAAGAGAAGCAGTGATGCAAAGCAATGTCTACATTGTGCAGGAAGAGATTACATGATGTGCAGGCTTGTGCTAGGCTGAGGGCTGGTCTACGTCAGTGAGAGGTTGGCCAGTCTGAGCTGAAATTTGGGGCTTAAGGATGTCTGTCTGGACTGCAAGGTGTTTGAAATGTCACCAGTTTACCCTTCTGGAAGATAAGCACCTAAATGCAAATGTTTTCCTTTGGATTCTGTAGGTTTAAAACCCTGCAGCTTCACTCTTCTGTCATCAAGTTCCTAAAAAGTTGTGATTTTCTGCCCTTGTAGGCAAGGAAGAAACTTAGTTTGGCTAGCAGAAGTTCTTAGTTTGGTTTGGGTTTTTTTATCTTCCTTCCAGTCTGATTCAGGGTAGTCTTGCTGGGGTTTGTTATGGCAAGCTACGAAATGGGTGAGACACCAGCATCAGCCATCTCCAGTGGTGTAACTTTGGGTTCAGAGTATGGCACCTGATGGATTTTAGGTAGGGAAATCTCCAGAAAGCACTTCTGTCATCAAGTTCCTAAAAAGTTGTGATTTTCTGCCCTTGTAGGCAAGGAAGTAACTTAGTTTGGCTAGCAGAAGTTCTCAGTTTGGTTTGGGTTTTGTTATTTCTTTTTCAGTCTGATTCAGGGTAGTCTTGCTGGGCTTTGTGAGACATCAGCATCAGCCATCTCCAGTGGTGTAACTTTGGGTTCAGAGTATGGCACCTGATGGATTTTAGGTAGGGAAATCTCCAGAAAGCAATCTACAGGATTTTCTGCACATGGGTAGGGTTCTGGCTCGTTGGTGTTTATTGTTCATCTTGGTGCTTTCACAGCTGCAAGTAGCTGAAGGTGCTGAATGAGGTTTGAGTAATAACTCTTGATGAACAGTTGGAATTAAGAGTTTTCTTTATTTGCTTTATGAAACTCATCAGTGCTCAAGGTCTGGGGACTCACACCTGAAAATTAAGTTGTGCTATAGGGCAAAAGATCCAGGTCTGTGATTTTAGTGAAGGCATCTACCTTGACAGCATAATAACCTCAAATGATAAGCACTGTATTTCATAAATTTGTTGGGTTTTACCTTGTCAAGTGGAAAGTTTACTTTCAAGAAACATCTTCAAACATCTTGTAGTTTTAATATTCCTTTTATCTTTGCTTAAACATATTGAATAGTTTCTAGGGCAAATGTACTCTTTAGCTAAGATAACTGAATTAAAATCAATAAATTCCTTGTTATGTAATTTATTCCCCTCACAAGTAATTCAAAGCCATCTATTTTTTATTTTTTTTTACCAGAGTCTGTATTATTACTTTTTTTTTTTTAAATAGCAGGGTTTTGGATAATTTGAGGGGGAAAAAATGAAGTCATTTTGTTCAATGAAATGGAGGTATAATTATCTTGACACTAGTATTTGTACCAATGTAGCTGCAATGAGTTTAGCTCTACCAGTGTAATTATAAGGTGGAATTTATAGTCTTCTCACAAGAGTCAGATTCATGTAACAGAATATTCAACTTTTTATAATTTTCCTTCATTTGTAATATATTCATGTGAAAAAAAATATCTATTTGTTCATGCATGGTGGTGTAATTGCTATTCATGTATTCTGGATTAAGAGGTTTTCCCTTGGGGAGCAGGGTATGTTCAGGTGAGATAAAATGAGACCTTATCTTCACCCTTGCCATGAACTGACACCATTCTGCACCACAGCTTTCACAGAAATTAAAAGGCACAAACCATTTCTTCCTCCAGCACTTCTCCCTTTAGGCTTCTGTTGTTCTGCTGCTTGATAGAGGTGGGATTCAAAGTCCTTCCTAAAACCTTTTTAATGTACAAATTGTATGAACAAATCTTGAGCATGATGTTGCTGACGTAGCCTGGACTCTGTAACTTTCTCAGTCTTTCATCAAAAGCTGCATTAGGAAGTTTTCCTTATGAACAAACCTTTGCACAAGATTACAGAAGAAGTATAGCTGTTAAAATGTATTTATTCCTCCTACTTATAGCCATACAGCAATCCTGTAAAACCTCAGTGATCTCTATAGGTTTTTGTTTTGTGCGGGTGCTCAGAAGGATGTGGTTTGAACCAGAGCACTGCATGTGAGTGGAGACATTCTGGGAGTGTGTGTGCATGAGAGCAATCTCAGTGGAATATTTTGGCACAGGGATGACTATTCATCTGTTGAGCATAACACTGGGACAGTCATGAGTGAGAATCAGTGTGGAGGGAATAAAGTCAAAAGCAAAGTGATGAACTTTGCACTTCAGGCCACGAGCTCTGGAAAGTAACAAGCTTTCTGTCTCTTCAGAAGAATACACTGCCATCAATCATGTATGGCTCTTCCCTTGGGTTATTAATTTTCTAATAGTTTTCTGAATTATCTTACTATAGCAGCTTTGTGGGTTTATTCTTTTTTTCCTTGATACTGTCAGATAAGTCCTTAAGCCAGCAACAGTGAACACAATGCTTATTGTATTGCTTGTTAACAGCCTTGATCCCTTCCTGCAATGAGAAAAAAAAAAGGAATAGGACCCTTGCATACAAAATTTAAAAGGGCTTTAAAAATTATTGGATTTCTCAGTCAATTAAAAGCTAATTACTTCATATGTCAATGAAAGAAATATTTTCTGGTTTTATCCCAGCCCATTCTCTCTGTACACTTAGTAGTGTCTGATTGACAGACTCACTCAAATTGACAATTTTGACTGCAAATAGAGGGCTGAGTCCACACTGCAAGCCCAACTTGTTTCAAGATCTGATGGGGATGGGTGGCAGCAAGGAAACTTCCTTCATTAATCAGCAAGGAAGATGTTAATGCCTTGTCTAGAGTCATAGACTTATTTATCACAAATATTTGAGAATATGTGAGAATTGTAGGTAATATTGAAGTTGACGTTGTAGCAACTATCAAGTGCAAGAATACATCTTCAAATCATGCAGCTGGCACCAACTCATCCTGGTGTGAATTAGGATTTAGTCAGAGTCAACTGTGAATTGGCGTTTCCTTATCAATAGAGAATCAGACACCAAAATATGAGGGCAGAACTAATCAAATCTGGAACATATCTTGTTACATATCTGGGACATTCCTATATGAAGTCAGACTTTGTACCTAAGGGGATTACCCCAAAGGGGAAAATCACACTTCATTTGGCATTCATATGATTAAAAGAAAATATTCCTTAATTTGAACCAAGACAGAAATTCTTTACTAGATTCCAAGGGGGATAGGGATATAGATGAAATAGTCTACATAACAATTCACCAGTAGAAAAATAAATGAGGGGGGCGGGGAGAAAGTTTCATTTGTGTCATGGTATGTCAACTGCAAGAGTAATGTAGCATTTTCTTTCACTCTCACAGTTGTGATGTGGCAATCTGCTAAATTATCTGTTAGATAAATTATTTGTTCTGAAACTTTTGACAACAAAAATTTGAATGTTTCTAGTTTGTTTATTCCTGCAGCCAAAGCACACATAGTGGAGTTAGAAATGCATATAAAATCAACTGGTTTCCTCTTCCAGGATAAAGAAAGAATAGCATTGCATAATGCTGACAATAAAATAGCCTGAGATTTTTTGGTTTTCTGTGATGTCAGGTTAAGGATTTGATTCTCCCCTTAACCTGGACCAGTTGCAGCACTGGGACATTAACATTACAGGCTGAAGTACTTTCTGCTACAAGGAGATAAAATACCAGAATGCAATTTGAGTCATCAGAGGTTTAAATTAGTTGCAGACCTGGGGTATTGACTTTCCTTACCTCTCTCCCATAAGACTGCACCTGCACTGGGATGTTTGTGCAACTTGTGTTGCAAAATCCAGTGGTTCTTTCTCAACATTGTCATCAGGGTAAAAGTGAGTGATAGGCTGTAATAGAAGGAAGGGAAAGGCAGACAATTAGTTTTGTCAGACATAGGCTTTCATGAAATATTTCTACACACTTTGCACTGATTATATTTTAAAAATCCACTTTTTTGGGTCAAAATGATTTTTCACTTTTCCAATTGTGTGCAGGGTGAAAATTTTCTGCTGCTTTCTTCTGCAACCTGACCAAAGAGCATCTCTATCCAAGAAAAAAAGCAGCAGCTCAATGTCTGATACTCATATGATGTTGCTCAAGGTTGTAACAAGGTGGGGTTGATCTCTTCTCCCACGTAACAAGGAACAGGACAAGAGGGAAGGGCCCCAGGTTGTACTAGGGGACATTTAAATTGGATATTAGGAAAAATTCCTTCACTGAAGGGGTGGTCAGGCCTTGGAACAGCCTGCCCAGGGAAGTAGTGGAGTCATCATGCCTGGGAGTGTCCAAAAAACATGTAGATGTGGCCTTTGGGGACACGGTTTAGTGATGAACATGGCAGTGTCAGTCAACAATTACACCAAATGACTTTGGATGTCCTTTCCAAGTGCAGCAATTCCATGACCTGTACCTTAAAACTGAGATCAGACCAGCTGGTTATTGGACACAGGTTTTTTGCAAGCCTATCTCCTTATCATTGGCATTTGTCATAAAATTACATCTTGCTATATTTATAATAGAACTGAGCCTGATAAATATTAGCGAGCCTAAAAACAGACCGAAGAAACCTTCATCTGGTATCAAAGAAACTGATTATTGCTAAGTAGTCTTCACAGCTGGTTTAGAAACCATAATTTAATGATTTTCAAAAGGCGTAACTACTTCAAAATTTAAAGTTCTGCCTGATTTTTATTCTATATTTTTTCTTAAAAACACATGGATTGCTTGTAGCCTTTGTTAATCCCAGAGCAGTATTTTTGCTGCACGACACTTTTAAAAAATGCCTGTTTTGCTGGAGTGCTATGAGACTTCTCTGCTCTTCTGGAATCCACTTAAACTCCTTTGGTGATAGGTAATTCTCTTTCTCAGTGCAGCCAAATC